ACACAGCACCTTGGATCACCTATTTGCCTCATTATAGGCAATATCTCTGCTTTTCCGTAGAAAGCAACATTTTCAAAGAGAGTTCCTTTCTATGGTTTCTGATCTCTAGGATGGCAACTTTAGGAATCATCCTATATAATAAAAGGGTAATATGCAAATTGACCCTAATGGTGGAACAACCAGAATGACCGGTCAACCAGTCACTATGAGGCGCACTGACCACCTCTCGGGTCCCTCCCCCCAGCTGGCAGGCTCCCATCACCCGATGACGAACAGGGAACCAGGGGTGGGTGGCAGGGGACATGGGCAGCACCAGGCCAAGGCCTCCACCCCACCGGTCAGCCCACACACAGAGGGTGAACTGCGGTGGGGGCGGGGCTGGCGAGCGGGCAGGAACAGCTGACCTCTTGGTCCTTCCCTCCAGCCGGCAGGCTCTGATTGCCCAATGATGAACAGGGGACCAGGAGTGGGTGGCGGCAGGGGGCGGGGCCGGCTGCGGGCAGTTGGGGAAGATGGTCCTGATCACAGGCCAGGCCTAGGGACCGTACCCGTGCCAGAATTTCGTGCGCTGAGCCTCTAGTCCAGTGGTTCTCAACCTTCCTAACGCCGCGACCCTTTAACACAGTTCCTCATGTTGTGGTGACCCACAACCATAAAATTATTTTTGTTGCTACTTCATAACTGTAATTTTGCTACTGTTATGAATCATAATGTAAATATCTGAAATGCAGGATGTATTTTCATTGTTACAAATTGAACATAATTAAAGCATAGTGATTAATCACAAAAACAATATGTAATTATATATGTTTTCCGATGGTCTTAGGCGACCCCTGTGAAAGGGTCGTTCGACCCCCAAAGGGGTCGTGACCCACAGGTTGAGAACTGCTGCTCTAGTCAATAGATATCTTTCCCTTTATTTTATATTTCTTAATCCCAAGTGTTCCTTCTCTTCTTTGAAATATAATTATTCTAATAAAATGTACCCTATTTATTAAAACAATGACCTGAAATAGTGTGGTTAATACTTCTTCCAGAATGTGGGTAATAAAAGATGGAAAGAGTTTATATTTCATTTCTCCCTTCTTTAATTCCTTCATTCTCTCACCATTCATTTACATAGTGACTGTTATGGACCTACCTCTGTTTTAGGGTGCTGAGGATATAAAGATAAGACACACTCACAAGAAGCTCAAAGTCTAGAGGGAGAGCAGGTAAGTAAATGGATAACCATAATAGATTATTCTGGTAGAGACAGTCACACAGTGCAGCTAACTGGGGCACCTAGACTAGACTGAGAGGGGAGTGGTCAGGGAAAAGGTGTATCTGAGCTAAGCCAGGCAAAATCAGAGCTACTGGGGGGAAAGGGATGACAGGTAGGTAAGTAGCTAGGTAGCTAGGTAGCTAGATAGAAGAAGAAAGGAAATACATGCTTGAATATCTTCCATTAAGGGAAATAAAAGAGGTTCCAAGTGGTTTGAGTGTTATGTGGGGGTGGTGTGGGGAGGGTGGTGACAAAGGATGAAGATAAGAAAGATGAGACTGGAGTGATAAGCAGGAGAAAACATGGGCCTTATGTGCCATGCTGAAAGGCAGGAAAACTTGGTGGGATTATGGAAAGGTTATAAGAAATATTTCCTGCTTTGAGTTTAGACTAGCCCTATCATCTTCTATCAGCAGTACCTGCATAGTCAATGATTTTACAGTACAACGCCACTTAAAGTGATAATTAAAGGTGACAACTGCCACTAAGCAACATTAAAAATCATATATTTAATGTTTTACCATAATGATACATCATTATTTCAGGACCTAGTAACATAATCATGCATCCATTTCTTAAACCTTTCTCTATGTAACTTTTTCCTCAGTTATAAAATTTGTGCCCCAGCATTAAATTTGAATAGGATTTAGTTCCAAAGTAAGATTAGTCAAGCCAAAGTAAGACAGGCAAAGGAATAACTTTGAAAATTCAATTTTTAAAATTATTTGGTATTGCCAAAAAATACCCTCCAAATCACTGAATAAAGAAGTATCCCTTGCTGGGTAGCTCAGTTGGTTAGAGCACCTAATGCCAAGGTTGTGGGTTCTTTCCCTAGTCAGGGCACATACAAGAACCAATCAATGAATGCATCAATAAGTGGAACAGCAAATCAATGTTTCCCTCTTTCTCTCTCACTAAAATCAATCAATCAATTTTTTTTAATTAAAACATTCTTTAAAACTAAAACGTATCGGGTATAGAAGGAAGGAGACATCTAAAAATTAGCTGCCTTGCTTAGCCATCAGACTTTCTGTGGTAGTAGTTATCAAAATAGCATTTGAGTTTCACTCAGCACCTGGAACAGCCTTTTTCCTTCCTTTATTTCAAGAATATGCATGCAATGATCCATTTCCTGGTCTATTGGAGTTAGCGCTCATTCAGCCGAGAGGGAGCCATAACCCTTCAGCCAGCATCGAATTTGGAAGTGTAACAGATGGACTGATCGTCACATTTCCCTCCAAGGCTGCCTTCTGAGCAGGCAGCCTGGCCTCTGTCCCCGAGGTAAATAGGCTAACCTGTCAATTTCGCAGCTGCCCGCAAAGCCGTTCCTGGAACACTTATCTCTGAACACCTTTCTCTGCAGCCTCAGAAGTGCCAGCACGGCCTGGGGGCCGTGGGAACTGCAGACTGAGAAGGGGCCTCACCTGAGCTGGGCGTCGGTGAAAACGGCTCTCTCCGCCAGCACGGTCCCGCTTCCTGCAGCCACCTGGCCCGCGGTCAGGTGCGTCCTCCTCCCGCCCGCATCCACGGCGACACTGGACCCCGCGTCCCTCTCCCTCGCCGTGCGCGTGCTGTGGAAGGAGCTCTGATGCCAGGAGGCCCGGGCGGCCCTGCTGTGCGCGGCGGACTGCAGGGGCGGCAGCGGCCTGAGCGCCGTGCCCGCCGTCAGGTAGTTCTCTTTCTCCAGGAGGTTGCTCATGCTGTGGCTGGTCCCGGGCCGGGGGTACGCCGCGCCACGGGTTTGGGCGGGGCGCCGTCAAACACGGAGTCGTTCACCGAGCCGTACTGGACCTGCCTGTGGTAAGTGTCGTAGTAGCGCTGCCGGCTCGCGGCCCCCGACGTGAAGCCCAGGATTTCGGAGCGGGCGTACCTGGGCGGCGGCAGGAGGGTGGACCGCAGGCTGTCGCGGTGCCGCAGCGTGTGCGCCGCCTGGCTCCGCTGGCTGTACTGGTACTCGCTGTGCGAGTAACGGACCCGCTCGGGGCTGCTGTCGGGGGAGATCTCCAGTCTCCGCAGAGGCTGCCTCAGGGACCTGTCTTCCACCGACTTCTGGGAGCTGTACTGCGCGGTGCCTCTCCCCCAGCGACCTTCATACGCCGTGGTTATGCCTGACTGCACGAGGGAGAGAGAAAGGTGAAATGAGGCATCAGTCAGTCTCCATCTCTGTTGAAGACTCACTATCCCGGGACTCTTACACAAGGGGTCCCTTTCTCTGAATCACCTGGAGAAGCCGGGCCCTTTCTGGGTAAAATCTGTTTCTACACAAGACGTGGTTAACCTGGTTTGACGAGTTATTTGCACCAGGATTTGAGGCTGTTTCAATGTCCAGTTTTCTACAGTGTCCACACAAAATCAATCTTCTCATAATTCATTTAGGAAGTAACAGTATTTCGGAGAGGCAACATTAAAAACTAATCTGTGGGAGATGGAAAATGTTTCTGATAACTAGTGTCGCGTTCTTTGGCATCCTACCTTTCGCCTGTCATAGGTTTTAGGAGCCGGGGAATGCCCGCCAGCAAAGTCATTTTCCACCAAGTGCAGGTTGTAGACATACTCAGGAACACTGCTGGCTCGGTGAAGATTTCCTGCAATCAAGCACGTACATTAAAATAATGTAGTAAACACTGTAGAACAGTAGCATATTTTAAGTGTAAGTATTAAGGCCAAAAACAAGTATTAGATTTATATTAGTGTTTTTTTACGTGCTGGTGTAACATTATCCTTGGATGTAGCAAAGGATGAAAGGTTGTTATCACAGCATTATCTACAAGCTTTTCGAAATAAAAGTTGAATTAAAAGTAAAATATATAATTAAATATTTTAAAGGAAAGCGAAGAAAGGGGAGAGGAAATTTTCACAAATATAAAAGAAGTGTCTGTTACAATACTGAGAAATCTGGGTATCACTGATTAGCTTAGGTGGGTCTATACTATAAAAATTCAGCTTCTTGGCCTGGCTGGTGTGGCTCAGTGGTTGAGCCTGGGCCTATGAGTCAGGAGGTCACAGTTCCATTCCCAGTCAGGGCACATGTCCGAGTTGTGTACTTGATCCCCAGTAGGGGGTGTGCAGGAGGCAGCTGATCAATGATTCTCATCATTGATGTTTCTCTCTTTCCCTCTCGCTTCCTCTCTGAAATCAATAAAAATATACTTCAAAAAATAAAAAAAGTTCACCTTCTTAAGTTAGAGAACTCTATTCCCAGGGCAGGACCCCAGAAGCTACCAGAGAAGGCAGTAGGTGTAGGCAATAAATACAAGGGTGACTCAACAATACTAGATAAGATAGCTTGTATAAACAACAAGGTGGCTCAGTTGGTCAAAGTAAACAAGGACTGCTTTGCTTCCAAAGACCAAGCCTGGGGCGGGGGGAGGTATTTGGCCGTCTGAGAGCGAGGCAGGAGAGGAAATCAGCCTCTGCCCTACAAATGAGTACATTTTTGGAATGAGCTGGGTTGGCTCATTCTTAGTTTGGTGATCTAACAGCCAGCCCACTCTACTGTGAACACAGCCTTTCCTGCTCAGTCCTGGGGGCCCACAGGGACTCTCAGCTGATGTGTGTGTCTCTTAAAACACTCCTCTGAGGAGCAGGTGGTGGAAGACAGTGTTGTCACCCTCTTCTACAACTTGATCCTTCTCCCATCTTGTTATTTGTTCCTTTATAATCTCCCACTGCCTTCTCTCTCCCTCTCTCTCTGTCTCTCTCTCTCTCTCTCTCTCTCTTTCTCTCTCTCTCTCTCTCTCTCTCTCTCTCTCTCTCTCTCTCTCACACACACACACACACAAGCTGGTCAAAATAATCAAAGATCTCTAAAACCTAGGAAATTTCTGATTCCCTAATTTTAGCCTAGATTTTTCTTTCCAATACAATTGGAACACACCAACATATTTTCTCAATACATTGTTATAAAGTCAATGTTTCAAAGATAGATTCACAAGAATGAATCCATCCCAAAACGTGCGTGTACATGTGTCTTATTTCCTGGAGCTAAACAATCTGGCTGGTACAAGTTTTAGGCCTGGAGGGGTCCTGGGGGAGGCAGTGCAGGTTTGTAAATGTCACTCTAAAGACTAGAGAAGTTGAGGTAAGCCAGGCCTGATTTCTAGGGGGCTGATTTCTCCACAAGGGATGGTAAAAGGTCAAGTAGCCCCTTAACTTTTAACCTCAATGCCTAAAACTGGGACAATGAATGGGGGAAAGGAATCTTCTCTAAGACCCCAGAGCAAAGGTTGTGAGTGGCCTTAGGGCTGAGCTCTCAATGCCTACCTCCAGCTCCTGCTCAGGCTGCCCGAAGTCCCTAACTCTGCCCCCACTCACCATTCCCTCTGTCCTCCACTCCCACCCCAAATCCATCCCAGACTTTCAGAGAGGCAGGGCTGCAAGGGTCCTGCTGGTATGGGAAAGGAGGCTAACTGAGCAGGTCCAGGGAATATGCTGGCTCTAATTCTGAAAGGCCTGGGAACCAGGGAGTTCGCAGCAGTGGGGTGTGGTGAGGGGGTGAGCAGGGGCAGGGGAGTGCTTAAACTCTGCCCCCCTCCAATAAAACAGAAGCCTTTTCTACAGAGGTTATGGTGAGGAAGAAAATTATTGGCCAGTTGATATATAAGAAACTAAATTTATAATTTTAATAAAAAGTAGTTTAGTTTACTGGGTGGGAATGCTGACTGGTGCAGCCACTGTGGAGAACATTATGGAGTTTCCTCAAAAAACTAAAACTGGAACTACCATTTGACCCAGTGGTCCCACTTCTAGGAATATATCCCAAGAAACTAGAAATACCAATCAGAAAGGATATATGCACCCCTATGTTCATAGCGGCACATTAACTCATTAATTCATAGCTAAGATTTGGAAACAGCCTAAGTGCCCATCAGTAGATGAGTGGATTAAAAAACTGGCACATCTACACAATGGAATACTACACTGCTGTAAAAAAGAAGGAATTCTTACCATTTGCAACAGCATGGATGGAACTGGAGAGCATTATGCTAAGCGAAATAAGCCAGTCAGAGAAAGATAAATTCCACATGATCTCACTCACTTAGGGAACATAATGAACAACATAAACTGATGAACAAAAACAGATTCAGAGACAGAGAAGCATCAATCAGACCGTCAAACCTCAGAGGGAAGGTAGCGGAGGGTGGGGGTAAGGGGGAGAGATCAACCAAAGGACTTGTATGCATGCATATAAGTCTAATCAATGGACACAGACACCAGGGTGGTGAGGGCATGAATGGGGGAGGAGGGGGTGGGGCAATGGGGCGATAAGGACACATATGTAATACCTTAATCAATAAAGAAAAAAAAAGTAGTTCAAGGTTATCCATTATCAAGGTTATCAAGGTTCAGAATTTTAGACTGTATGAAAACTAAATATATGAAAGGCAGGGACAATCCAGAATGGGAAAATCCTAATGGCATATATGGATGGCTGCCAGAACGATTAATTCCTGTTACTCTATACTAAAATGGCAGATGATGAAAGGAATTTAGGAATTCAACATTTCTTCAATGGGTCCCTCTAGCCTGGCGTCCCTGCAGTGTCCAGGAACAAGTAGATATTCATAAACAGTTACTGAGGGTGGGGGGCTTGGGGGTGGGGGGGGGTGGGGGTGGGTTTAGAGGGCTATTTGCATCTTCAAACTAAGATTCCTGCAAGGATTTTTAAAATGTGTAAGAATCGCCCTGACCGGTTTGGCTCAGTGGATAGAGCGTCGCGCCTGCGGACCAAAGGGTCCCAGGTTCGATTCCGGTCAAGGGCATGTACCTTGGTTGCAGGCACATACCCAGTATGGGGTGTGCAGGAGGCAGCTGATCGATGTTTCTCGCTCATCGATGTTTCTAACTCTCTATCCCTCTCCCTTCCTCTGTAAAAAATCAATAAAATATATTTTTAAAAATGTGTAAGAATCTTTGATCAGGACCCAGGGAAACAGTGTAGCCTATCAAAATAGCTAATCATTGAACTTTATAAGCGGGCCTGTTGAAGTAAGAAGTTTAACTCACGTTGTTGCTGGGGGCTGTAAGGCTTTTTAAAGCAATTTATATGAACTCCTTACATTCCAATATTACTTTTCTTTCAGGAGCTCAAATTATTTTATGTATTTCTTTTCAATATTCTGTGATGCAGAGCCAGCTATTATCATTTCCCTTGATAAATAGGGAAACAAATTACCTGCTTTAAATTGCAAAGAGATTTAATATCAGGTTTGAACTCTGGGTTCCTCCTTTCCACTGGTCTCTGTTGTTTAAGTGCATGGCGACTTTTCTGGAATTGTCAAAACCTTGAAGGGATTATCATCATAGTTTTTGATATAAGGACCAAAAAACGATCATTCTCCTTCCTCTAGAACAGGGGTGGGGAACCTTTTTTCTGCTAAGGGCCATTTGGATATTGATAACATCATTCACGGGCCATACAAAATTATCAACTTAAAAATTAGCCTGCTATATTTGGTCAAACATTTAATTAACTCCCCCCCTAATTCCTTGGCAGGGTCAGACCTTATAAGGCCCTTGGGCCAGACATTCCCCAATCCTGTTCTAGAACCTTTGCCTGAGCAACTCAAAATACTCTGCAAATATTAGTTCTCTACTTGCTGACACAAGTCCTTATAAGGAAGCTTCTCCTTGCATTTTCAGATGTATGAACTGAAACCGGTTTACTGGTTCCCAAAGTATCTACAATGGGGTTGGTAACAGGAATAAAATAAGATTGGATCTTTAAACCACAAACTCTCTTCCTTTTCCAGAGAAGTTGTGATTCCTGATATTCAACCTGCAGGCTGGTACAAAGGATGGTTTCTCTGGTTAAAAGGCCAATCTCAAATGACAAATAATGCAGATTAATTTGCCTAGATAGTCATGCGTTTGAGATCAGTATAGTGGATTAAAGGTGAATTAGCAACCGTGTTCTAAGATTTTAAAGAAATTTTGAACAAGGTGGAATTTTTTCTTAAAAGATAAGTATTAATCAGGATGGAAACTAATCTCTTTAAGGCAAGTCATTATTTTCTGTTCAGTCAGAGGATAAAATATTATATACCATAATAATGACTATGGGACAGATGAAATAATTCAGCCACGAATTATTCTCCAAAAATAGAAATGAGAGCAAACAAAAACATACTATACATACAGGCACACCCTGCTTTAAATATATCCAACATGAAAACTCACATTTTCTAACATGGAAAATGAGCGTGTGGCTATATTTCAAAGGATTCATTTGCTTCACAAAAGGAGGTGGGTATCTTCCCTAAACCAAAGAAATCTGTGGACTTGGTCTGGAGCCTCCACTCTACTGCATTCTATGTGTCTGGTCAAATCACTGGTCAAATCAGTTTCCCTCAATTCCAGCTACTAACAGAGTTGCTGAGAAAGAGGTTTATCTGAGAAAGCACTCATTCAAATGCTTTGAAAATGTAAAGCAACATGCAAAAATGAGGTATGGTTTTTAAAACAGAATTTGGATCACAAAAATTTATATTTCACACTTTTTCTTGAATTAATCTATTCTAGAAGGAGAAGTAAACTAGTATGCAAGATTTACATTGTGTTGTACCTCAGAGCTTTTATTCTGGTA